GGACCCAAAACAGTCACCAGCAATCTTACCTTTCCCCGCACGAGGGCCTTGTAGGCAGTGCGAATGATGAGATAAGACCAGATGATATGCAAGATCTGCAAGGTTATCAAAAGCCCATTGAATAGCCACCATGAAGGATAAGGACCAATCAACTCCCAGCTTTCAAATAGGGTTGTATTCAAAATCCTAAAAGAGATCCAGAAACACATTACAGATCAGCTGTGGTGGTAAGACAGCTCCCAGCTCTAAATTAAGATGACTGGCCAGATGCACAACAGTTTGTATCTCATTTAAGCATCTGTTGCTTTGCTCCTGTCAGAGTGGCGATGCAGCTAGTCTCTTTCCAGAGTCAGGAGACAGCTTAAAGCTAATTACAAACATTTGAACTGAGCAACAAACAGGAGAAGATGTGAATGTTCTGCAATTTGGTTACACATACAGATCTGCTGCCAATTTCCTTCTTAAAAGCACACTCATTTATAATAACTTTACAGGAAGTGATGCCAAGCTGCACTGGTCATCAAAACAACAGTTAACACATTCATACTTGGGCAGTCTTCACCCATATTTAACTATCAGGAAGGAATTTTGTTCCCAGTAGGCCTCCCTCCCTGGGCGCTATTCTCTTCCCTCAGATCTTTATGGGTTCCTCCTGCCAAGCTGGAGGACTAGAAACTGCTTTACGGACAAAGCTTTGTGCTTTCTTTCATTACTGTTTTGCTGTTCTTGTCGCTGGGAGTTATTGCCAGTACTTAAGTAATTTAATAAACACTTTAGATTTTATGAAGTAGAGAGGTATGGAGAAACCTTTAAAGACATCATTAATTTCACATAGCTTTCAACATTTCACAAGAAAAGAAAAACAAGTCTTTCAAAGAAGAACCCAAGTGCCCCAACATGCAGCTACAGAAATATCCAACTCAGCCAGTTTAGGGATGAGTTAAATGCAATTCCAGAGATCTGTTGATGTTTTATACTACTAATTAGGGAAGGGAATCCATGTGAAGTAAATAGCATGGGGTCTGCAATACCGCTGCAAGCTTGCCAGATTTCTCTACAAAGTTAAGGAATTACATTACAGCCAGTGGAAAATACATTAAAGATTTACAGGACTGCTGAGCAATAGCATGATGCAAGAGCATCACCTTATGACAGACAACAGCAATAAAAACAATGACAACTATCTCATCTGTCACTGGAAGGAGCCTATGAAGACATAAGAATTAAAGCTCTTCCTTATCCAGACTCCTTTGATGCATTTACTGGAAAACAAGCAAGAGCTTTAATTGCAACCCTGATACCAAAGTGTAAACATTGTTTCTGCCTACTGTCAAGGCACCCAAAAAGAATGGGAATGCAACCTGCCCATTGCCTAGGAAATAAATATATGCAGTAAAACTGAAATAAACTGAGTAATAATCAGGTGTAACCAAATTTTCACCACTCTTTCAACAGTAACAAGAAGTGGATAACAGCTCATCAACAGAAGAATCACCAAGCCTGACCTATTGAGGTGAGAGGGAATCTCATTATAGGATGATTAGCTATAAGCCATTTAGGCAGGGTTTTACCCCCCAAGAAACCCAAGACCTCGTTCAGGCTCTGAACAGTCGTGACAAGGATACGACACGAGTGTCAAAAGAATCAGAAACTGCAACGATGACTAAGCCAGATACTCAAAAATCAAATTTAACTCAAGAGATCATGCCTCATTTGCAACTATTTCCAAAACTCTTAAGAGAAGCAAACAACCCTTCAAGTCTTTCAGAGCAGATACCGGCTGACTTGGCTCCAGCTAATAAGCACTGTCATCACTTTGCAGTAGGAAGAGAGGGGCCAGCTGTGCATTAGGATTCTAGTCACTTTTCACACCCCCTCAGCTGACTGTTGAGAGGTTTCTTCATGTGCCTGGTTGAATGTACTGCTCCAAACAGTACTTGGGTTATCTGCAACTTCAGGCTGCCTTGAGGGACAGGCTGGAATGCTTGCAAGAGGTCCAAACCCAAAGGCTTTCCTTAAAGGATTGGAAAAACAAACAAGACCTTAGAGCTCAAGGTGCTTACCAGAAAGGATAAATGCCCAACCGTGTAACAATGAATACGACACCAAAGAGCATGAAGAAAGCATCACATAGACGTTGGTACTTGGCATAATTGGCTAGCTTTGCAGCCTAAAAGAGACAGGAAATATAAGAATATTATTCCCTTTGTGCACTCATGTAATTACCAGGTTGTAGAGCCTCAAAAACCCTCCAGCCATCACATTTGTAAGGAGTTTGGAACACTTGGGGATTATTCTCAGCACTAAAGCAGTTATGAGGAAAAGCTGACAAGGCAGGATCAGCAGCACAAGTTCTACGGCGTATTTAATGCAGTTTATCAAGAATGGGAACGTCGGCTTGCTCCCCTGAGACCACGCTAGCATTAGGTATGCAAAGATTTGAAAGGAAACTCACCTCTAAAAGGAAATCTGATGCATCATGGAGGCACAGCACCAGAGTTCCAACCCGCACCATATTATTCATATAAGAGAACGTAATGAGTCCAATTGTAGCCAAATGATGGACGAACATGATCAGGAAGTCCTGGAAACAGGAAAGAAAATTAATGAAGACTCTTTGGCTGTCAAACAAATACAAAGGTCTGGAACAGAGCCACAAAACTGACTAACTGGGGTCACAGGATTACTTCAGTTCAGACTCTGACTCCACTTTATACAAGCACAGCTCATCACACAACATCAGCCGTCATCACTAAGGGTTCCAGAAAGCATTTGTGCTCCTGTGAAGTCAGAACTCTGCATAAAGGCACAGCACAGCCTCTGGCATACACATGCAAGGTAAGGATAAGTATGCCTGCAGACCCCACTGCAAAGATTGACAGGACAACATATGGCCCTTATTTTTGGCTCCTTTTGGTTTTACAGTTATATTGCTAGTCCTTTCAGCTCTTGGCACAAATTTTAAGTACGCTGCTGTTAGTTTTGTCAGTGTGCAAAAGCCTGCCAGAGCATAGCAGGCATGGAACACAAGATAACCCAACAGCAAGAACTAGGCCACTTCATTAAAAAAAATGTTCACAACCCACATCCACTCAGGGCTGGTTTCCAGTCCAGCCCCCTGGGTACAACACTTCCATGTCAGTGTACCTTACCATGATTGCAGTGGGAAATGTAATCCACTTTGTTAAAGTCAGAGTACAAATTTAAACATTATAAACAGTATCGCAGACACTGCTTATCAATCCCTTTCTGCAGCTCCAAGATACTCTGTAGTGCCTCATCTGCTAACATTTCAGTACTGAAAAAAATCCCAAACTTTTCTTTTTGAACAGTCAGTGCAAGAATTGGGATAATTTCCCACTTTACAGTTTGTATAACAGAAGCAATAAACCATGATTTACTATTAACTGTTTTCCAACAGCAACAATAAGCCAAATCCTAGAACGCAGCACAATGGAATTAGATTCCAGCAATCAAAACCAGTCATCATTCTGCTACACACACAGATGAAAAATTACTTTCAAAAACCCATTTATTATTGCTTCATTGTTTGCCATTTTCTCACCCAGCTCAACAAGGTATGCTTTGTGCATCTCATTTTCATGTTTTCTTCAAGCCTTCTAATTAAATCTATTTTTACACAATGATTTGATAACTTTTTATTTGGAGGTATCGAGTGATTCTGTTCTTTCCCCTGGAAGGTGAAAGGGACTCTCAAGGATATACCAGGTTGCGTACTAGGCTTGCTCCTCCCTTTCCCCAGGACTGGGTAGCGATTACAGAAGGAGGTAGGCTGCACAAAGACGTGAGTGAGGAAGAAAATACAGTTACTGCTATGCTTTAGCTTTACTGGCCAGGCACACTCACATTTTTTGTTAGTTCTATCTATTTAGCAAAGTGGTTAGTGCAATTCTGGTTAAGCTCACCTTCCGTTTAATGTCTGTAAACTGAGAAAACATGAGAGACCAATAGAAGGCCAGCTCCAAGATATAGTAATAATAAAGCCTGGATGTTAGAGGCTGGAAAACAAACAAAGATAGCATAGTTAGAAGACAAAGTACTTTAAAATTTACATTAAAATCAACTCCTTCACTCCTTCCCATCCCACTCTGTTCCTCCAGAATGCTGAGGCATAAGTTAAAAGATCCAGAATTAAGGTTTAGTAAAAACAAGCTTAAGCAACTGACGTCTTGCTCTGTGCTTAGTCACACAAACACACTTGTGTGTTTGAACTTTATTCAAAAGAACTAATATTCCCTTATCAATATTGACAACTCATACTGTAGCCTCTTGGATTAGGAAAACCAGGCACTGAAGCAGACTGGTTGGCCTCTATACAATCATACTTGCTGCATAATGAAAACAACAGAGTAAATAAGTCACCGGTATAATTTTATGCATAATTTTATTTTTCACTTTTAATAATCTCAGCAGCAAGTACACATAAAATGAATACGAACTCAGTCAGTTCTAGCTAAGGAAACACTGCTGTTGACAAACCTAAGACATGAAGACTAAATGCCACCTTTGTGCCTTCCAAAAGGGATGGCTGTTCACTCACTAGAAAGCTTAAGAGGCTGCAGCCTGTGCAGCATCCACCCTGCAGAATAACGAGTCGCGCTCAAGTCTACTGAGTTTCAATCCGCTACCATTAACAAAAATATAAAAACTCAAATTGTGCAAAAAGTTGTAATCTAGTAAGTGTTTATCTCCTACCTGAAAAGGGTAGTTGTACCAGCACTGTCGTGTGTCCCAAAACCAGGGTGCCTAAAGGCAAAAAGTTAAGTTATTATTCTACTGGGTTTTTCTTCCCTATCACCTAAGGCTGTTGACCCCTACAGCACTGTTTCACTGAAATTTTATCTTGATTCTATCATTCAAGCTAAATTTATTGTAAAACATCCTAGTGATTTAAAATACTCTTTCTGCAGTCAAAGGCAAGTTATACTGCAATGGGAATTCAAAGAATAATCATATAGCTCTAATAATAATAAAGACCCAAAGAGATGAAGCTGTATCCCTTCAAGAGGGAGATAACAAAAAGACATGCAGCTCTCCATAGCAAAAAAAAACCAACAGTTCTGTCCCAGTCTGGGGTAACAGGACAAATAAGTTTCTAATATTTCCATAATAACAGATCTGTATAGAAGCTTTCCTAGAGTGTAAAGAAGGTCCTTGAACAGAAACCCCAGGATCTCAAATAAGGGAATACAAAGATGACTATCACCACTAACCACCCCTTGTTTTAAGCTAGGTGCAAGGCCTGAAGAAGCGACACAGGTAGTCATGGCCCCTATATTCCAGCAGGACAGCCATAATCCTGCTGCACGCCACGCAGAACAACAAGGGTGGGGGTGACAGACCAACTCACCGTCCAGAGAAATCTGATTCCATAAAAAAATATACTTAAATAAAATGTAAATCTCCACCTAGAAAAAGAAGCGAAAATTAAACTTATGAAATAGAAATAGCTTCTGGTTAACGTTTGTACCAAAAACTGGAACAATTGTGAAAAAAAACACACCCAAGCCAGTTCTGACACCTGAAAAGCTTTCCCCCACCAAATGGTAATCCTTCATTTGTAAACATTTCATGTAAGGATAAAACTATTTTAGAGTTGTCACACCGCACACAAGTTTGCATCAACAGCCAAGCTTGAAATAAAGTTCAGAATGAACATGCATCATTCATATGCTTTAATATACAATAACAAGATAACAAGATAGTCATTGTTATCCAGAAGGTATCCTAATATATATATTTGTCCCTCTTACCTTGTGGCTTTAAGTAGACAAAACCATACTGGGGGGAAGAATTAATATGAAGAAAGTTACTGGAAAGGAAAGAAACCAGCACAGAAGAAATAACAAGTCAGGAAAAAAATATTCAGGTGCTACTACACTAACAGAGGTAACTGCAAGCATTCAGAAAGAAACAAAGAACAAAAGAATGAACTGAAATGAAAAGAACAGGAATCCAAGAAGTGTCTGTGTAAGAGTATATACATCATTGTGTAAGCCATAAGGTCATTCTGTCTGGGAACAAACGCTGGCCTACAACACAGCTGTGCAGACAGCAGACTTGTCTTCAGTATAATTACTCAAGTTGTGCACATGCATATGCACACATGCACACACATGCACACTGAAGTGCTACGTTTGCATTAAGGACCTGGTCCACTATCTAAAGCGGCTCATCGTTGCCAGGAATAACTCCTGTACATGTGTTCTCATCTCTCATGCACATATACAAACTATTTTAGAATACTTGAATTCTAAAAAGCCCTCCTAACTTGCACATATACAAACTATTTTAGAATACCTGAATTCTAAAAAGCCCTCTTTCATTTGCTTACATAAGAATTTATCTTCCACCAGCCAACCCCAAGACACTAGTTTAAATTAGCAGCTGACCACAGTTTCAGTTAGAAAAGAGAACATACATCTGGAGCTTTAAGATGAAGCCACGTCTTGGCCTCTGCACAAACATACATGCTCTCACAAAATTTAGTGAGGGTGGTGGGTTTGTCCTGGTTCCTCCGATGACGAAACCAGCGCTGGATCTTTCGAACATCCCAGTCTAGCTGCTTTGACAAGCCTTCTAACCTTTTTCCATCTGGAGACTGAAGGAAAATGAAATAAGTGTCATTTCTCCTACTTCTCAAGCTACTTGCAGTTCGAGATCCCCTCTGTACTATGACAGAAATGATGCACAGGTAACAAAACACACACACTAGGAAGGCACTATGTACAGACTAGAAGCAGGAACCCCTTGCCACGAATGTTCATTCAAGTTTAACCTTCATAAGCCACTAATTACATAATTATTCAGAATGCTTTTGGTTTAACATTTCCTCATCTATTTCATCATTTGACAGCACATTATGACAAAGAATGCAATTGTTCTGTTTCTCAATTTGAGGGGAGAAGCTTTCAAAATGTCCTGTCCTACCTGTTAAAACTCGCACATCAATTCAAACAGCACAGAACTCAAGAAGATCAAACTCAAGTACATTTAAGGGTTGCTACTCACTGCAAATTCAGTGAAACTTTAAAGAGTTTAATACACTAGATATTTGTTTATTCCAAAAGAGCATTGTAGAGATGGCGTTATTTCTGTTACTAAAGTTTATAAATAAAATTAAATTTGAGAACTGAAATAATGTATGATAAAGAACATATCACTTTCTCTGACTGGAAACTCTACTGGCAATTTATTTGTTTGAATAATGACATAAATGGATTTATAAGAGACAAAGCGAACAAAACCTGATAACTACCTCTAAAATGGCCCAGGGGTGACATAAAGCCACGTTAGTTTCAGATCACTGTCCTTTTAACAAGCTCTGCCAGGGAGCTCTTACAACTGTAAGATGATAAACACATTTTACTACTGGAGCTACATACAAACCCAAAAACCTACGCAGAAAGCTGATTTAATAAAGAGTCACCAGACTGTTCAACTGAAAAGCAAAATCATCTGTCATTCAATTTTCAGTATTGAGACCACGACTTTCCTGTAATTGCATCACAGACAGATCTCTCTGCACTTTACCAGGCTTTAATGGTTCGGGCTACCTGACACTTCTGCATTGGAAGTGAACCTGCCTCAAAGGAGAATTTACAGAGCTCCGATTTCAGAACAGCAGTGAAATCTTCCCCCTGCATCAGTGCCACCCTACATTCCGAGTCTCCAACAGCAGACACAAGCCTACTGATACAGTTTAAAGCAGCTGTGTTTTCATAAGCTAAATAAATTTTGCACAGCATGCTTCCTCATGGGTTTCCTAAACATTAATTTCAAGGATATCCCCTACATAAAAGTCCTCCCCACAAACGGCATCAACTCATAGGGACTTTTTAGTTCACACGTCATTCCAAATGCCTCAAAACGTCAAGTTCCCATGAGGCAAGTTTTAATAAGGGTTTCATAGAATTTCCCTTCCATTCACTGAGCGCTTTATCTGCTCCGCGCAGAATGAAGTTCAGCATCACCAAATCAGAACATAAAACCTTCCATTTCATTATCTTTAATGAAAATCTATCATGCTGTCTGCGTGGATTTCACTGTCAACACTCAATAGAGCACAGAGCGTGTGGAATTGTGCAATTCTGAAGTGAAGGGGCACTCTCAGCTTCAGTGAAAGAAAGTCCACGAAACAATCAAAAGAAACACCTACTGTCAATATTAAATGTCCTACCCTTTGTCAAGGCACACTCCCATCACTGAATGCTTTCCTTAAATAACTGACTTCTACTGTGACAGCTGTTGTCCAATTCCACAGTAGATGGCAAAAAATAAGAGGAAGGCATTCACACAACTGGCCAATAAAACCAGCAAAGAAACAGATCTCAAGGAAAACAGCAGCACTTTTCCAATAGAAAGATAATGGGAAATTTCTTGTTAATCCAAGAATTACCACCTGTTACAGGAATAACAAAGGCAGGGAACTAAAAGAAGAAGCCTCGCACCTTTCTAAAGGGAACATTTTTTACTCAAAAAAAAATTCTTCTATGCACAAAAGCATAGGTCAGCCATAAAGAGAATTTACTTTGCTACCGGAAGGACGTGCCAGAGGCAAAGTAAAATAAGAAAGAGCACGCTCATTGTGCATGCAGTGTGAAATGCATTTCTCTCAAACTAGGAAAGTGGAAGCAAAAAGCGCCGTTTCCCCCCCCCCCCTCCCCCCGGTTCTTACTTATAGGCCTCCATTTCTAGCAGAATTTGAAGCGCGACTCACCTTAGTGATGGATGTAAACACCTTCTCTAAAATTGCATTGGGCTGGGCTCTGTGAGGTCCACTGTCTTGAATGCCAAGGTTTATGGCACATGGCTTGGCAATAAACCTGAAAGAGTTCCAAAGAAGGAGCGAGATTAAAACAAGATACCCATTTCGCTCCTCTGACTAAAGCAGAAGGACCCTGACTTGTCACCAACTGCAAAACCTATCCAAACAGCTTTTGAAGATCTCCACTCACTTTGCTGAAAGAAACTTCACAGGTGAGGTAGTATCTTTTATTAGTCTAAATGGTAACTGCAGACAGCACCTACAGTATACACATCTAAAATGAAAAATTAAATCTTAATGTCCTTGGCTTGTAAGGATCAGAATGTGTGATTCTCATTACTCAGAAATAAATTAATAGATCACTGATAGGAGTCCTCTGCGAACAGAAATGCTAGAGCCCTTGTAGCCCTATAAACAAAATGCTTTATTTCCAGAATGCACCTTGGTGGCACTTAGCTCAGAAAAAACGGGAAGTTCAAGTGACACAGTTCCTAAAAGACATGCAGGTTTTTCAGTTTGGTTTTTTTTTGATGTTTTATTGGGTTTGGGGGTGTTTTTTTTGTTTTGGGTTTGGTTTGTTTTTTTGTTTTTTATTTTTCTCAAAGACAAAAAAAAGTGGCTTATTTCCTTTGAGAGAGTAAGGAAGACGTAAGAAGTCGTTCAGTTTGAAAGACCCGAGATCTCAGTATCTCACTCAGCCCTCTATGCACCGCATATTCCAAAAGCTGATCCAACACTATGAATTTTATAGCACAGACACTCTGAAAATAAGCCTGGCTTTGCAACTAAAATGAATATATACATGTTCAAAAATTAATAGGTTTTGCTGTACCTTCGTGTCAAAATGATTCTAAAGGAAATGTATGTATTACCTGAGCACATGAATCATTTTCTCTCCTGTTGGTGGGCAAGAGAGGCGAGTTTCAAGAAGCAATTTGTATTATTTTTTTAATCAATTATTTTGAGAGAGAGCAAAGAACCTTTTTCTGAAAAACGATTCTGAAAAGAACCCAACATTTGCATCATTAAATCTATTCTGCTTCCAAACAGAATTGTTGCAGAGACAACTGAATTGAAGACAACAAATTCCACATATGTATTCCATTTAGCAGACTCAGAGTGCCATCAAGCAGAAAAATGCTTTTTCCGACCACTACATTTGTTACCATTTCTCCTTGTGTTTAAAAGGAGAGATTGAAATTCAAGAGAATCACAACTATAAGTGTTCCACCAGCAATTATTCTTGGGAGTACGTTGTTAGTAGTTCAGTAGCAAACAGCTAAGACTGGGTTTAAGAACAGACACAGGTTGTGGGGTTTTCCCCTTGAGAAATTACAGATCAGCTCATGACTAATCCTAAAGGAACTCCCCTGCTCTCAGAAAATACTAAACAACTAATCGACGCTGCGACCCCAGGTTTCACTGTCCTGCGCCATTTCTTCATGCGTCCTGTTCAACAGTTGTAGCTTTAAAAAAAAAAAAAAGAAAAGAAAAAAGGAAAGGGTGATTTCCTTTTAGCTTGGCTCAAAAGCCTCACTGCTTCCTCTATGATCTATACCACCAGCCAGGAATCATGTTCTGATGTTATGCAACGTTTGGCTGCACCCCCATAAAAGTGTACATCTTCATACTCTTCTTTCCTACAGGATATACCACAACAACAAAGAAGTACACATGTGCAATTTACAGGATGCCCAATATTTTCATTTCATTTTTTGGGACACAGTGCTTGCAGCTCTATAAAAAATAGAAAATACTCAGTTTGGGTCAGTTTCCTCACCTAAGAGAGGAAAGCTGAAAAATCTAAAAATCTGCACATTCAATTACTTTATTATTCAGGAGAGTCTTCTTTTGCTTTAAGAACAAGTAATGAAGAGAAGGAATGGTTAAGAAAGCTCATAGTGATCCACACAAAGTTTTGGTGTTATTCTAGAATTCAAAACCTGAAGCATCAAGGAAAGAAGAACCAGCATCTCAAAGAAGGATGCAGAAATAATTCACTTTGGGACCTAAAGATTGCAGAAAAAAAACCCCAAACCTCAAAACTTTTCTTAAGTAGTAGGCTTCCTTCACTAGCAGGCATAGGGAAAAAATACAGATGTTTCCAGAAATGGGGGGCGGGCAATAAAAGTCAAGAGTAAGCCACAGGCTACAGACACAGCACAAGACTCAAGTTACTCAGTCAAGCATGCGGGTGACCAAAGAGCAAACCAAAACAAAAAAAACCCTGCAAACATTTCTAGGTGCACAGAAGCAGCCAGACATCAACAGCAGCAGACAAGTCACAACAGTGGAGGTAGTCCCAGCCACAGAAACAGGAAGGAAAAAGGATGGCAGCAATGGATTTCATTACTTTTAAGGAAGTCTAACCCAACACAATAATGTAGCTTCTCTAACTCCACAAGTAATGGCTTCGTACAATGGAACTGCAAATGACAACTGTCCTTCCGCAGCACTGCCTGGGCAGCCACGCAAGGGGTTTTTACCCAGGCTAGGCACGGCTGGCTCACGCTCACGAGTCCACTGAGTGGCCACAGGCCAGTTGCTTTGACCAGTTACTACCTTGCAGGTGGAATACAAAGTGAACAATCAATCCTGTTGTCAGTCACAAAAATATCGAGACAACATACCATTTCCTTTGGGTGTTCATTAAGGAAAACTCATGCTTAAAACCTCCGTGGCACTTTGTATTTTTGTCCACAGAACAGGTCTTCATATGTGCAAGTCTTGCACTGTATCCCACAGAGAAAAAATCCGCATAGCAACAGCAGTTAAGCACCAGAAGGAAAAAAAAAAAAGCTGCCCATATAGTAGGATTTCCATTCTTGGGGATATTCAAAACTGAACAGCACAAGACCATGAGCAACTTGAATTGACTAAAATATTGGCCTTGCTTTGAGGAGAGGATTGGACAAGGTGACCTCCAGAAGTCCCTTTTAATCTAAATTATTTTATGATTCTACAGAAATCTTAACTGCAGCAACTATTCCCAAGGTCAACTTACTGCCACACCTTCCTAGCAAGGAATTATCGTCACTCAAATACTTATATTACACTTTTCTGAACAGGTATCTGCTCAATGGCTTAAGTCATACCAACCAAGCTACCTTTTTCACACTAGTTATCAAGGTGGACTGATTTTGAAACCAACATAAATTTTCAAGCACACAGACTCATAACAAATATTTCTCAGGCCTGTTCTACTTCACAAACCCAAAGGCAGAATCATTCTTTATGGAACATTCCAGTTTGTCTAGTGACTCCCTATTACAGCTCTGAAAAGGAAGAAAAATATGCGAAATAGTAATATTTATAAAGTATGCACTCAAAGTAAGAGTTCATCTTTCTGAAACCTCTCAGATTCACTGTGTTAAGATTAATCCACCTCATTCCACAACCATCCCTAATTTTCCAGACAGACCTGATGACGTAACATCTAAAATCACTTTTGTGTCCCCCCCCGCACTTGAGCACAAGTTGCAGATCCCTCCTCAGACCTGTAGAGTAACAAGCATATCTGTTACTGGAGGCCACTCCAGTGTAATTATAAACACATCATATGAATAACAGGCTCCAGGTTTTTGCAGATACCTGGGATTATTTTTTTTTGTGCCTGCAGTGGGATAAGATACATAAGGAGAAATAACAGCAAGTATAACCAAGAAAAAAAAAAAAACAAAAACAAAACCAAACTCATGGGCAGAAGTCCTTCTTTATCTTCTCTGCACAAAAATCCGCCCCCCTACCACTGAGTCAGGGCTTTACCTTCCTCTACAAGTCTTGCCTCATCTCTATAGTCATATACTTCCCACAGACAGTCAGCCTAATGAATATTTTACCAGCATTGTGATGCAAAGGTTAATTTATAAGAGCATCCACTAACAGAAATACGTGTCAACGTTACAAGTGTCACGGAAGCAGTTCCTCACATTGAAGATCTACAGCAAAAGGAGAGAGAAAAGAAAGAAATTAAGAGAAGCTAAAACAAAAGAGCTGCACAAGTATGTAATTCAAGTTCTGAGTCATCAAGTCCGATTGCCAACTGTGTGTCAAGGAAGATATTTGACACAATCATCCCCAAAGCCTGAATCGGGGTAAATGCACAATGGGATATTACTAAGACAAATCTGAACTTTCATGACATGTTCAAAGTGGCAGGAGAAGAAAGAAAAGCCTTTCTTAAAAAATGTGGTCTTTTAAAATAAGCATACTAGAAACTGCTCTGGATGTTGCTCTCACAATCTGCTTTCACTTCAGGATACCACCATTAAGACACACAAGCAAAGACAGCTGAAAAAAGGAACAACCCTCTCAGGAACCAGGCCGTGGTCTCTAGGTTTTACTGTGTAGGCAGAGGACTTCATCTGTCATTTGACTCCTCCCTAAATTAACACCGCAATGGAAATTTCACAAACCAGGTAGACATTATAAGGATAAAGCAGTTGCTACCAGGATTGTGTTACCAGGTGCGGTAGGATGCACTGTATCTCTCCTAACATCTCATACTCTCAAGAAAAAAAGAATCCTTTGCACTTCTTCCCCAGACTAAGACACCAGGACTAAACAAAGCTTGGAAAGCGAGGAGACCTTCTTACAATATCCCTTTCAGGGGTATCATTCTGTCTCACAGCTTCCTTTCCTTGTCTGCTGGCAAGCGTGAACATTTGGCTAAGACCAGCACGCCAAGCTGAGATGAGATTTTGGCACTGCCACGTGTGTTCCTGGGTCCTCTACACTGGTTTGAACTGCCAGTACTTTTATGAAGCTTTTTTTTATTATTATTTTTTGGAGAAAGATAAGATTGAGAAAAAAAGAGCCTCTCAAATTTCTCTCCTGCTCTGCTGACCTGCTTCATTTTTCTCCTCAGGTCACCCATCTTTTTACTTCACCCCAGCCCCCTCTTACTAATTTCTGAAAGCTCAAGAAAATTCACACTTCTTACAAAAAAACCCACAAAACAACAAACTCGATTCCTACTCACTTTAGTCCTACAGCCTTTTTCACGCTTAGAAATACTTCTGACCTTTCAATGTAGAAATTTAAGATTAAATCAATCTCTAATGAACTACTTGAACGGGAATACAAGGTATCTTGGTCTGCTTCACCTAACGGTATTCCTAAATAAGCCGCTTTACTAATTAGTACCTATGTCACCCACACAGCCTGCCCTGCGTGTGGCTGTAAGAGATATACATCGCAGACAGGATAAACCTCTGCCCCAGGGAAGAGTTAATATCATATGTTTATGGATACTCAAGTAAATGAGAAACACTGTATGACGTGTTTACGGGCAGATATGATGATCTGCACGCACTTGTGCCCTGCCTGAGATGCAGGGGATGCACAAACTGTTTAATAATACACTAGGCCATGTGAACAAGCCCTATTTCCTCATCCAGGAACTCACAAGGAAAGTACAATAGAGAGACCAGCACCACATGCAAAACAACTGCGGAGTGGCAGCAGCCAGTTGTCTCTCACTCGCCCTGCTGAGGTTCTCCTGGACAAGGGGAGAAATAAAACAGAATTCTCAAAACTTTTTTCTTGCACTACCCCACCACAAGGTACCGCCAGCCTGGGGAAACAATGCCAAGGGAGAAAGGAGCCCAACGGATGTTGTATGTCATGACGGACACAGCACGGTTCCTGGGTTACACAATACAATCATAGATTCGTCTAGGTTGGAAGGATCATCGAGTCCCACTGTTAACCTAACACTGCCAAGTCCACCACTAAACCGTGTCCCTCAGCACCACAAATACCCCGCCTTTTAAACACCCACAGGGATGGCGACTCCACTACTTCCCTGGGCAGCCTGTTCCAATGCTTGATAACCCTTTCAGTGAATAAATTTTTCCTAGTATCCATCTTACACCTCCCGTGGCACAACTTGAGACTATTTTGTCTTGTCCCATCACCTGTTCCTTGGGAGAAGAGACCAATCCCCCTTCGCTACACCTCCTTTCAGGTAGTTGTAGAGAGTGGTAAGGTCTCCCCTCAGCCTCCTTTTCTCCAGGCTGAACACCCCCAGTTCCCTCAGCCGCTCCTCATAAGTTCTCCAGACCCTTCTTCTTGTGCTCCAGACCCCTCACCAGCTTAGTTGCCCTTCTCTGGACACGCTCCAGCCCCTCCATATCT